TATATTTTCTTATATATTATTGTATTAAAAAATTGCAAATATTGAAAACTTACATTTTATTTTTAAATTTTCAGAATTACACTTACCTAAGTATTTAATACCATTGAATATAAACTAATTTAGTATTGCTTAAATTTACTAGCGCGTGATATTAAAATTATAAAAAACCAGAATAATAACAATGGCCACGATTTAGGTGAAATGATTCAGTCATGGGGGTTGGTTAATAACAGATGGAAAGACTCTTCATATAAGAGAGCTTAAGCTACATATAGCAGAAATGTGAATTAGCTGTGTACTGTTGTCATGCCCCAATAATATTCCCCTCCAAAGGTTCCCGATACCAGTTTTACTTTGTTAACTTTTTAAGGAGATTTCTGGTGTTATATTGGGAGCTGTTCGAATAATGAGGTGCATACATGGATGAGAGCCATGAACACTCAATACAAGCCCCCAGAGACGGATCCGTGCCGTAGAAATAAGATGTCTGATGTCCTAATGTACACCTGTGAGGGGGGGGGGGAATAGCGAGGGTAACAAAAGAGAAGATGGCTGGATGACATCTGGGACTAGACCGGATCGTCTTTTGCAAATTTACTGAGGTCAGAGTTTCTTTCAGGCATCATTTCGGAGGAGGGGGGGGGAGTGGCTCTGCGCCCAGAACGAAATGGAATTTATATACAATACATACTTTTACAAATGTCCACCCTTCCCCTGAAATTTAAGTCCCCATCCCTGAAAATTTCAAGTACGCTCCCCAAAAAATCAATTATTTATATTTAATTATATTACAGTTTCGATGAATAATAACAATATTTGTGATCATGTGTGTATAATTAGATGTACTAGTCACAGCTTTACTTATTTCCAAGTGTTATTCACTTTGATGGATGCTAGATTGAAAGAAAACTAGACTTTTGAACATAATTTCTGCATTTTAGACCATGGTATGGCTAATCCAATTGATCATTATCAGTATTTTTAGCTGTCCTAAACAATGTAATCATTGGTCTAACAATACAAAATCAGTATACAGCTTAATTTTCGCGTGATTAGCCATATTTCGTGATAAATGATTTTATTTTTCAATAAATGTACATGGGGCCGTTCGTTACTAGCGTCCCATTTATGGGACGTTTTTAAAAAAATTCGATATTTAAAAAAGTATCGATTTAAAAAAAAATCTATAGTCATTCTTTCATTCAGTGCCCAAAAGCTAAACCATATCAAAAAATTATAAAAATTTGAGACCTTGGGATAATATGGGTTAAATCAACTATAAATACACACAATATTAAATGGAAAACATTACAGCGTTACGAAGGCTTACCTAAACTACTCGACTCGATTTACCTAACTCTAGTATGTAGGTTTGCCCGATAGTCCGCTTAACTCGAATGGATGCGTTACTGAAGTTTTTAAAGGCAATGGAAATTGATAAAAATTTAGATCACACGCTATTGATTTTGTATGTCGAGATAAAAAAGACAGGTTAGCTCTAATTCACCTGCCTAATTGACCGTCAGAAAATACTGCATTCTTTATTAGGTTAATTCAAGAAAGCACAAACGTTTTGATATTTTAATCTAACGCTGTGTGTATTTTTTTCTTTTATCGCACCCTGGCAGAACTTGACATTGGTAATGTTATTCAGAACTTAAAGGTGAAATTTGATCACGTCACGACATATAATATACTAGACTTACTGTATCTGGTGCATGACGATAAGAACACGGTTCCAGCACATGGGTTTTTTTTCTCTAGGTCACGGAATCATTCCCAAAACCGTAGGTCATTTTTTTTGCTTGGCAGGTTTTATAAAAATAAAGACTCAAGTTGTTTTTAAATTTTTAAATGAAACATCTCAGTTTTTAATATGTTTCGTTTTAAATGTCAGTAATAGAAATAGCGTGTGATTAATAGTGTGATAATAAAAAGTGTGAATATAAGAATCACACTTTTAAAAATGTTCAAATTTTAATTGGTGCACTTGTTTATTTTCAAGACAATATATCAGTCTAACTCATGGGTCTCCAAACTTTTCGGTCCGAGGGCCGCTTTAACTATCAAATTTCAGTTCGGGGGCCAGTTTCTTCCAGGTATGTCTTTGATTTTTCTAAGCAAAGCTCCTCAGCCATAACCAACAAACGATTTTTCCTTGGACAAAAAGATCTCCGCAGGCCGGATGATAGGACTTCGCGGGCCACATCCGGCCCGCGGGCCGTAGTTTGGAGACCCCTGGTCTAACTGAACATAAATTAGATACCAAAGCTACAGTATACCCCATAGAAAGAACATTCCATCTGATCTTACCTGTATTGTTTAAAGTGGTGTTCATCGTTTCTGTAAAATCCTCATGCAGTTGCTGGTTTCCAATACCTGTAATTTCTTTGCTCTTACTTTCATTCGCGTTTATAACTACATAAGAAACAGTTATAACATAATTAATTTTGAATGAATAAAAAACTTAATAAATACAATCGTTAAAATATACATATAGAGGTTCCTACATTGTTACCCAGAGGCAGACAAATTGAGACACTTGATATTGTGCTATAAGCACACCGTTTATTTGAATTCTTGAGAAAAAAAAAACACCTTTTGAAAGGATACTGGCGGAGTTTCATTTTAATTCAAATAAAAAAGAACAACTTTTATCTGAACCTGATTTCTCTTCTATGGTGCTCGCTGCCTCTTCTAAAAGTACGGACAGGTTCCCATAGAGTAGGTGTTGGTTTCCCAGTTCTATGCTTGAATTGCTAATACTTTCATTCTGCATTAAAACTGAAAACAACGAATATTAAGTCTACTTAGAAGTGCATGTACGCTTGCGTGAGAAATTGTGCACTGGGGTTTAGTGTGTGTGTGTGTGTCTGTGTGTCGGTGTGTGTGTCGGTGTGCCTGTTTGTCTGTGTGTCTGTGTGTGTATCTGTGTTTGTGTGTGTGTGTGTGTCCGTCCGTCCGTCCATCCGTCCGCCTGTCTGTCTGTCTGTGTCTGTTTGTCTGTCTGTTTATGTGTGAGTGTGTGAGTGTGTGTGTTCGCAGGTTACCAGATTCTATCCGGCACCAAAAAAAAAAAAAAATTATAAAGCTAAAGCAGCTTTTGAAAATCACCTGTAGCGTTTACAGTTGTTTCCCCTGTTTCCATATCCCAGTCATCTTCGTCAATCATGTCACTGATGTTTGTATTTGTTTGAATCAAGAAATCGTTTTTGAATTCTTCTTCTATATCTCTCATTAGAAGATCCTTTAGCGCCTCAATATTACTTGCTGAAATGTTCCTTTCGTCGAAATCATTATTATATTCTAGAAAAAAAAAAGGCAAATAATGATCATCATTGTTGTTTAGGACAGTGTTGTATAATCTATATATTAACAGCACGTTTTTTATATACAAAAGTTATTTGAAAAGTAAGATGAGTAGGCTATACAACACATATATATACACACTATCTCTAACATAAATACGCACAAAAACAAACGTACACGTATACAATCCTTACCACTATTTGTTTTGTTTCTTTCCAAAGCACATATCACTCCAAATATACATATAGTAACACACAGAATGGCTGTAAACTTCATTTTTTTACATCCAGGAGAACTATCTATGTCACCAGCATCTAATGTCGAAGAAAATTAAGTTTTGTAAACAGTATCTCAGAAAGACATATTTAAATATAAACTCCTCGGCGATAATTTAATATAACATACAATAGCCAAAATACGTATTGTCTATAATTAATTTAATGCTTTTAATTTACCTGTAAATCAATCAAAATGAATACACTGTAATTTATTTTAATGAGAGACTTTTCTAAACTTCTGCCACAAACACAAAACAGAATAATATTTCCCACGAGCCGTGCACAAATCTTGTTCAAGCGTCAACGGTAATCATATAACAAACACACTATTTAAAAACATTGGGTTGCCCACGGGATAACTGAAGCCTAGCCAGTTGAAACCAGCGTATTTACCAGTTTGTAAGGGGAAGCAACAGGGAAGTAGAACAAGTTTTGACATAAAGGAATCTTATGTCATTGCTGTGATGTTTTTACTTGTAATAGCATTTAAATATCATAAGTGATATGAACCACGTGACATAAGAAGTAGAGGCGTAGCTTGTGTTGTGTAGGGCGAGAAAGTCGGTTAAAAAAAGCTCATTCTGAGATGCATAACGTAATTTTACACAGTATTGAGACGGAAGAGCAAAAAAAAAATGTACAACATTTCCAAATTTTTAAAGAGCCACTATCATTTTTATGCACTTCAAGCATGGAGCCATTGCCACGGCGTTGGCCACAGCACAGTAGTGGGGCTGGGCCCACTACCCAGAGCCTCTTCCATGCATGTTATGAGGGGCGGGGTGAAAGGGGTCTCCCTCCCCCCGATCGAAATAGAATTCATATTGAAAATATATGCCTTTAACGATGGCCGCCCCATCCCCCTTCCTGGAAATTTTAGTACAACCCCCCTGGAAATAAAAGTCTCAAAGAAACGAAAAGTGCTAATGCCCAGCGACTGTCAGCTGACCATATACGTTTTACTCCACCTATTTTCTTTGTTTTTCATTTTGTTAAAAGTTATCTTTGTTTTTACAGTATAAAACTTATTGTGTATTGAAAAAGATAATATAATTATTATGGAACTGGAGAGCTGCATATTTACACAAAAAAGAGCCGCATGCGGCTCGCGGGCTGCAGGTTGCCGACCTCTGGTATAAGTCAATGGTTTGTTACATGGGATCTATATCAATCGAACCCCATCGGTTCGGCGGAAGTCAAAACCCACACCCGACACACATGATTTATGATTGGATTCTGTCAGTGCGGATGATAAAAGTATTACGAAGGGTTCGGCGAATATGCATATAAATCTCGTGGGGTTCGGTAACACCAAAATACTGGTCTAAGTTGAAACAATGGACTACCACGTGACTTTGCTGATTGATTTCAATGTTGTCTACAGCAATTTGTGTGACACCTAATTAAATGTGATTGGTAAAAAGCTCACACCTCTTCAAATTAATGGAGGGTTGGGGGTGGGGGACGGCTTTTTCGCTAACGTCAATATCTATATATAAATGGGTGGGGGCGCAAAATCGATAGTTCGCCCCCCCCCCGCCCCGGGCGCCAAAATGGGTCGCTACACCTCTGATTAGAAAAAATCATATACAATTAGAAATATAAGGCACGAGAATGAGAAATAATCAAATGCAATAATACATATTTCAAACATGACGTACGAATGATTATATGCAAGACGTAATGGAAAGCCGTTATACCCGAAGCTAAGGATATGAGAAAAAGTGAAAAAAATGACTGTAATATTGTTCACAAAAATAAATTTGGGCTTCTTTAGTTCTAGCTTTGACGTCCACACATATACAATCTAACAACATACTTACTGTGAAATGCATCGCTTCTTTTAAAATCATTTTATGTAGATTAAGGTAAAGATATTACAGTTGCTTCCTTTTATCATACCAGCAAGATTAAAACGTATATGAAACTGATCTTTTTGTGTCAAGAAAAATAGCCTAATCGTAAAATCATTAAAACAGTTATATAAGGATCGGCTAAATAACAAATACGTACGTTAAGCTTGATGATTATCCTAATTATAGAAACATAACTATTGAGCTGACACACCTAGAGCATTAAAATACATTCGATACGGATAGTTAACCAAGCGTGCCCCCTTGTGACTTGATCATGTGCCAGACACCAGGAAGTTTTCGATTCCAGACATGACATTCATTCGTTGGGTATAACCAGTGTTTCTTCCAGACTTTTTTCTCCGGGGGGGGGGGCACTAGAAATTTTCTGGGGGGGGGGGTTGACTTTCTTTGGAGGGGGGGGGGCGGACACTATTAAAAGTATATATTTTCTATATAAATTATATACATTTCGTTTCGTTCGGGGGGGGGGGGGGCGGTAGAATTTTTTCGAGGGGGGGGGGTGCAAAGCCCCCCCCCCCCCGAAGAGGTGCCTGGAAGAAACTCTGTGTATAACACAAAAACGTTTATATGCAAATAAGCTAGTTTTTTTTTTAATTTAGCATTGGTTTACCAGATTAATGTTAATAAATATTAATAATCAATACAAATAATAGTAAGTAAAAGTTATATTTCGTACCTTGCTGTCAATCGGGCAGGTGAAGTAGAGTTAACCTGTTAAAATGATTTCGGCATATCGAGGGATAGTGTGGTCTGCACTATGACCAACCGCCTTTAAAGCATATTACGAGCTGGTATTTTCCCGTTTAATCTGATTAGCGGTTTTGGTATTGGAAGGGATCCCCATTGTTACAATGACTTTGATTTTCAGCCAGCTTTTCTTTTTGGATTTGCTTCCATAGTCTATGTCCAACCAAGAACATACTACAATGCAGCAGTTGTTTAATTTTAGAGCCTCATCTGCTCGAGGGTTCGTACACGAGATTTTTCAGTTTAGCAACCATGAGCTTTACCGACTCGACCACGCCGACCCCTTACATACCCGTTTAATTTACACGATTAAAACGACGACAACCTAACATGCCTAATTGAATATTAGAAAATACCAGAAATAAGCATGTCGTTTATTTTAATTTATTTTGTTGTAGCTATGTACTGTGTAAAAACCTGTTTAAATCAGAACATTAACAAAAACATCTAATTGTTACGTCCCTTACATGTCCCCGGCTTGTGTGTGTGTGTGTTGTGTGTGCTGGAACGACAGGTACCCTCCCTTTTGTGTATCGTTGAAGCCCTTGTTTGAGTCAAAAAATAAGTACTGTATTCCTATAACTTTTCATTTTAATTTTTATATTATTTTATATTATTTCAATGACTTAGCTAAATTTATCGTGTTTTCTGTAAACTAAAATAAAATCTCATTGTACCGACATAAGTGTAATTACAGCCAAGCTGCAGGAAGTGAATTGACGAGGGCACAACCCTGTAATATTCCACGTCCGTCTTTCCCACACTTTTCCTTATGATATTTTATGTTCAACCCGCAGCCCCACATTTGAATGACTGGGGGTGTTAAGTCATGCGTCGATGCCCAGGGAAACTTATCTCAGTCACCAAGTGTAAATTTAGAAGACTTAAAGTCGACGTATAGCTAGGAAATTTTTAAATTTATTTTTAATGGGTTTTTTTAAAAGCATTGATGGAAAACGTAACTATTTTATCTTACAATCAGAAATGTTTGTTATTGGGGAGTGGGGGTGGATAATGGAGGTCCGTAATGACGGTGTGTGATACGGAGGGGGGGGGGGGGGTCAGATTGTGTGAAGTCTCACTTTTGCATTATAAGAAAGTTATGTTAGAAAACTAATTTTAACAATTAAAAAATCTATGTGGATCGAGATCAATCAGAATTTTTAGAAACAACAATAAATTTTTACACTACAATTTTGAGGGGAGTTGTTGGCTGAAGTATGACGTCATTTTTGTTTGAAGGGGGGGAGGTCTGGCTTTTTGTGACAATTTGTCACGGAGGGGAGGATGGACGTAAAAATACGTAAATAGGCGTGACGTCATATATAGATGATCAAAATTATAAAACTTCTTTAATGCTGTGTGCGCTAATGTTGTACTGTAGCCCAGTAGCGTTGGCAGGTAAAGCTCCAGCAAAGTTTAAGCAGGGTCTACGTCTTTTCTACAGATCAGCGCCGGTAGTTTTCGTCTCTTTCATATTTCTCACCTTAGGGAATCTTTTACTACGACGTTTTATTCAGTTTTTCTTTTCTTTTAAATATCTCTCAAGTGAAACATTGACGCCCACCCCCTCACAAGCATGTCCACCGTCTCACGAAAAAACAAAAGAAAACATATAATTCAACCAGAAATTTCTAGTACTCCCCTTCCCCTTGACAAAATATCTAAAAGAAACCCAGGCTTTATTTAACTCGGTAATATTAATGTAATATACCGTAACGAAATCTTGCTCTAGAATTCTACAGTTTGTGAATTTATTAGTCACATCTAGGTCTAGAATAACCCGATTTAACTCTTACCCTACTTTCATCCTATTCTAACAGAAACCTGATTTAAACATGCTAATAAAAATGGGGGGGGGGGGGGATCAGAGTTTCTTCCAGGCATCTCTTCGGGGGGGCAAAGCCCCCCCGAAAAATTTTTACCGCCCCCCCGAACGAAATGAAATTTATATAATTTATATAGAAAATATATACTTTTAACAGTGTCCGCCCCCCCCCGAAGAAAGTTTACCGCCCCCCCCGAAGATTTCAAGTGCCCCCCCGGAGAAAAAAGTCTGGAAGAAACACTGGGGGGGATTCGAATTTATTTTCTATAAGCTAATAATATTCCTTAAGGTACATTTCCCTAGAAGCAACATCATATAACAAAGTCGGTTTGCTGTAGTTAAATATGTTCTTTTTTCCTTCACAGGAAGAAATAAAATATTTATATATATTCTTTGCACCAACCAGTCCGTCATATTTAAACTATTTTACGGATGTGCTTGAACTTTGGGCTGCTTTTTTTCCATATCTGCGTGTTAAAGTACAACGATTTCCCTTCCTCTCAAAGGTAATTAAAAACACCTTTATGATAACAATCTTTAAAAGCA